GCGCGCACACACACACACTGCCATGGACTGCACCAGTATAAGACACTGGAGCATGCATGCACGTACGTGCGCGCGCGCACACACACACACACTGCCATGGACTGCACCAGTACAAGATACTGGAGCATACACACACGCGCGGAAAAAATCTGCGGCTAGTTCACAATCGGCATCTGTGGGAAACTAACATGGAGGGAAATATGGCGAGGATTATATTCCCTAATTTATAACACAGGGCATCTGGAAAGCTGGTATTCCACAGTAGGAAAGCCTACACTTTGTTAAGTTAGAGGTTAAGTCCAAGTACATTATCCTGCTTTAAATATCCTTCCCACAGATTCTCCCCTTAACAGCTATGCTGCTTTAAAGTGAGCACATGGTTGATTCTATCTCCCAGTAGAAGTAGACATCCTTTTGTTCTCTCTTCCCACCAAGACACTCAATGTGGGGGGAGTTCAGATGCTTACAGGCATCCTCAGAGCGCTATCAGTTGCCAGACTGCAGTGGGCCCCGCTCCCTGCTGTTAAGGATAATGGACAGGCCTGCAGTCATCAACTTGGTTCCTGTAGGTGGGGTTCACACCCCAATGATAATGGTTCCTATGGAGATCCAGCTGCCATCCTGACTCTAGGATCCGCCCACCTTGTCACATGTATACCCCCAATCCCTCCTCTTCCTATTGCGTGTCTGTCCCTAGACCACCCCCTCTCATTGCTGTATAACCTATAGTGTAACCCCTTCCTGTGACATATGTCTTTACCTGTAATTAGTGGGCTTGCACGCCCCCAAAGGTATATGTGCCTGGGTTAGCAATAGAGGCGTCCCTCACTCTCTCGGCTCCTCCCTTGACCTCTCCTTGGCTCTCTCTTCTCCGTTTCCCTTTCCCCTTGTCCTCCTTCCCTTCTTTCCACGTGGACCACCAAGTGGGGCTGAGGTGAGCAATGCTACCATGTTGTGTGTCTGACTCCATTATTTGACTCTCTTCTATCTCTCATGCTCTCGGTGACTTTAATATAATATTTATATATCTCAACTGTACAACTGTGCTGACTGGACCCGTGATTAGTGGTGGGGGGTTGGCTCCACCACCTCATACCGCAACCCAACCCCCCCTTTCCCTTTCCCTAATGCAGGCATTAGGTTTCCTCACCTGTGAGCTCAGGGACCTTCATGCAGATACCATCCACCTTGTGATGCATGTAACTACTGAATATGCATGTCTTAAGGCAGCCTATAAATGTCTCAAGATAGTAAAGGTTCTCACTTCTGGTTCCGCGTGGTCCATCAAGAGAAGCTGAGGTGAACGTGCTACCATACCATGTGTCTGACTGCTTCATTTCACTCTCTCTCCTACCTTCCTTATCCTCTATGACTGCACTATCATCTTTATCTGGCATCACTGCACATCTGTGCCTGCTGCCATTTGGTGGTTGGAGGCTGGTTTCCTTTCACAGGTGTCATTTTGTTACACATGTATTGCCACATATGTGGACCACAATACAAACATTTCAAAGAATTAAAAACTAGTACCAATAAGAGCTCTACTTGCCTGGTCCAGCAATGGCTGCTAACAAGTCCAGGAGCAAATGCACCTGCCGTGGGGACAGGAACAGGTGGACCGAGTCTATCTGCCCATCAACATCCAGCTGCACAAACGAGAGAGCAGAGCAATTCAGGATGCAGGCGCATACTCCAGTCCACAGTCCCCCGCAGGGGCCGCTGTCAGTGCGCGGAGCTGAGCTGGCTTGAGTCTCCATGAAGCCTCACCAATGAAAAGATGGAAACTGCTGTTCTAAGAAGGTGGTCCAAAGCCATTCTCTTTCTCTTCTGGGGCCTTGGAGAGGCCTTAGCACAGCCTCCAGGTCAGGACCCTGAAGTAAGGAGCCCTGGTAGCGGGGGTCAGGTGTTGGGCTGTAACACCAGGTAGGGAGCCGAGATGGGGATCCACCCCGTGTGGTGGGTGCCCCAGCCCCTTCCCTTCTAGACAGGCATACCCCCAAGGGATCAAGTAAATTATATGCCCTTTTGGCAACAGAAAAGAACAGACGGAGTCCCTAAGTGCCGCTCTGACTGAGCACACCACAGAAAGTGGGAGGGGTCATCTCCAAGGCCACTGAACTTTCTTGCCACACGTGCTCAAAGTGACACTGTGAAAGGTTGGCCCGGCCAGGCCCAGGGGGCACTGTCTGAGAGAGCGGCAGAGGTCTTCTGCCACCCAGGTCTGAGAGCCGGCTGGAGAATCAGCCAACACTGTATGTGTCCAGTCCTGATTTCCTTCCAGCACTGACACTGATGGTTGGTGTGAGTTCTGTGATAACGACAACGCCTAGCCTCGAACTGCCTACCCGTGCAAGGCAGAGCAATGGTGGCATGCCCTAGCCTGTCCCAGCTGCTGGCTCAGGCAGAGACAAGGACACAGGCAGCCTCCAGTCCCCCCCTCCCTACCCACGGACAGTCCACACCCTCTGCTGGGCTGGGTACAGCACTGTGACTGGGAACCCACCGCTCCTCCTTCCCCCAGTAACTGCTATGCCCGGCTTTCCACCCCGAGGATTCGGCCCTTTCCTTGCACTTAAACCCTCAGCCACTGCCCTTGAGTCAATCCCCTCATGGCAGCCTGATGCAGGGCGCTGAGGCTGTGCCCCGAGCTCTGGTGGCACAGTGGGCTGCTAACCACAAGGTCCGTGGTTCAAACCTAACAGCTACTCTAGGGGTGACAGATGAGGCTTTCTGCTCCAGCCTCGGGACCCCCCAGGGACAGTTCTCCTCTGTCCTGCAGGGTTACTGTGTAGCAGAATAGACTGGGTGGAGTGAGTGAGCGAGTTGTGGGAGCTCCTGGGAGCGGACAGCGCGAACCCCTGACCAGGTGGTTAGCAGCCAAAGGTGTAGGCAGTCCCCGAAGGGAACATGCCACACCAGCTCAGGGGTCAATATTGACTCCTAGCCGGCAGGCGGCTCACTGTGGCCAGTCAGTGGGGCACGGTGGACTAGAGGGCAGAGACGAGAGCGAGGACTGACCTTGGCCCCAGGAAGCACCTCGTTCTGCTTCACGGTGAGACTTAGACGCAGGTTCCCGACCAGTGCTCCAATCTGCACAGGGTCTGTGGGAGCGGCCTCCGGCAGGTTCCTCATTAGCTGTGGGTGGGGCTCATAAACGATTTTGGGGTTCCAGCTAGGTGACAGCTTTGGCTCAGTTTCCTGTAACGATGCAACAGGAATAAAGTGACCACTTAACCTTGATAGCCAGCGATCTACCGGCAGTGTCTGCGGTCAACATAAGACGTGTGGGCACGTGGCAGCAGGGAGCCCTGCTCCAATTGTCTCTCGGGTGCCTGAGGCTGGCAGCCAGCCCTGCGCCAGTCACACAGGCTGATGAGGAACAGCCAGGGACAGCACCCCATGAACTGGCTGGTTGGTAATGTCAGCGAGGAGAAAGCATCCCTGTTGGCCACGTGAAGAGGCCTGTGTGCGGGAGGCCGCCAGGACGACGCAGGCTCATCTGACGCAGGCTCATCTGATGCAGGGCTTGGAAGTTACGTTATGACTCAGGTAGAGGGACGTGTACACGTGAGGTTTCCTTATTCGACTTGGTAAAAGGATGTTCAATGTTCACGTCCCACCGTCCCTCAACACTGTATTCCAGGTCCCCTCCCTGAGACTGGCAGCAGGGGCCTCCAGAGCATCAGAGCTGAGGCCCCTGGGGTGCGTCCTTACCGCTGGGGCTGTGGAGGAGGCTGGGGAGGGTTTTGCTGAAGCAGCAAACTCGTCCCAGAAGAGAGAGACCCCCGAGAGCTGCAGGAGTTTGTGAGCGAAAGCCGTGGGCTGGTGCACGTTGACACCCGAGGGCTCGCCGGCAGCTTCATCACAGTACACGGTCCTGAGGGTTAACACCAAACAGGAAGGCAATGGCGTTAAGCTCCCGGGCAAGCCAGGGCAGCAGTACCAAGCACCCGCGCTGTGGGGACAGCGGGTACCAGGCTTGCATCTAGCAGGCCCAACACGCTGTAGCCCACTTTCAGAGGCTGCCCACTTGGGGTGCCTGGCTGCACCCCACAGCCCTCAGAGACAGTACTTGTGCGTGAACTCCAGGTCTGTGTCTGCTGGCAAAGATGGCATCTCTTCATCGCAAACAAAACAGCCTGGCACTGGCTACATGCTGCTGTGGGTCAGTGGGTCCCAATGCACCGCACCCCCGCAAGGCCTGGGAAGAGCTGCACGCTGGGCTCTCCCGGCTGGAAATCCTTACAGGACAGACAACCTCACTATTCTCCCTCGGGAGGCTGGCGGGCTCAGACCACTGTGCCAGGAGGCTTCCTTAAGACACTCACAAAGTTCTCTAGGCACATGGTGGCCAGAGCCTGGCTCCCTGAGTGCACGAGGGAAGGGGAGGCTCCACCCGCTGCTGGCAACCCCCACCACAGCCCGGGGTGGGGTGGGTGGTAAGCACAATGTGTTGGATGTTTCGGGGGTGGGAGTGGGGGAAACATGACCTGCTTTGAACTGAACCCGGGAAGTTCTGGACGAGAGCCCACTGGGGCTTCAGCTTGAGCCTCTGCGACTGTGCAGCAGCCCTGCAGCCACACCGAGGGCAGATGGCCTAGCAGAGGAAGTAACAGCCCCGTTCCCGGGTAGAGGGAGCCTCACCTTTCGATCTGAATTTCAAGTGCAGTTCCAGTTTTGCAGTTTTCTGGTACATGCTCAATTCTCAGAACAGTGTCCAGGAAAGTGACTCTAACCCTCCTGAGTACTAGAGGTGAGAGACAGGCAGCATCAGCACCTCGCACGCTGAGCAAAGCTCCAGGCAGGGGGGGCGGACAAGGCACTGGGGGGAAGAGCAAGCGGGGCTGCTTTCCTCAAAACTCCCCAAGACCTGGGTTTGATCTCGGAGGCCGTGGTGGACCTCCCGCTGCATCTCCACAGACACGAGGCCTGGACCGCCCTCTGAATTTGAACCCTCCGCAGAGCAGACAGTGAAGCCAGCAAAGCAGGGGACGGTGCCAGGGCACTAAATCGAGCACAGAGCCTAAGTCACACTCAGCCCCTAGGGTCCAAAGGGAGCACAGTATTTGCTTCAAAACCTCACTCAAACCCCTCCCTTAGTGACCGCAGAGCTGGCCCGTGGGGTTTTCCCGAGATTCTGAATCTCTTTGGGAGGAGACCGGCTCATCTTTCTCCTTTGGCGCAGCTGGTAGCCCGTGGTTAGCAGCACAATGCCAAACCCCTGTGCTCCCAGAGCCCCTTGCCTTAGTCAGGGTTTACTAAATAAAACAAACAACCCCCCAAAAAAACCAAAAAACAAACACTACAGGAAACAACCCAACCCTGCCATTGAGTGGATCCCAACTCACAGCCACCCTCCTCCTCCTCTGGAGGAGCTGCTGGTGGGTTTGAACCGCCCAGCATGTGACCCGCATACAGTGCCACCACCGCTCTGCTGACTACAGACTAAATGCAGGGGCCAGCAAATCTAGGCTTTGCAAAACCGTTCAGTGATACCCAACCTGTTTCGATGGTTTCCGCAAACTTTTCCAGCCCCTCAAAGGGCTGAGTGCTCTCGCCCTGCTCCTCGGTGAGTCTCTGGCCCAGGCACGCCTTGGCCAGCTGCATACTGCTGGCCATGAAACTCGACCAGTCCATGGGCTCCGAGCCAGTGGCTGCAGGAGAGAAACACATGGCTGCTGGATGGATTTTCAGGGTTATAGCAAAGATGTTTCTGGAAAGAACACATTTCAAATAGGCCAACATGAATCCCTCCTTCCTAACACCCTGTTGGGACCAAAGGACGCCCTATGTATAAACCGTCTTGCTTCACAGCGGTGGCCTGGTGCCGAACCCTAGAGGTCTCGAGAGTGCTGGACTGTGACAGGTCTAGGACACAGGGCTCCCTGGCAGCAGCAGCAGCAGAAGGGGAACCCAGGACCAGTCTCTCCTGTTCCACATGGACGCGGTGAGTGGGGTGTGTCCCTCCTCCCCGGCCCCCGGCACACTCGCTGCTTCATTGCTAGCAGCGCGGGCTTAGAGGGGTTTGATGTGCTGAACTCCAGTACTGTCCCTGTGCTCTTGGATGTGAGAGTATCTGAAAAGGGGCTGGTGGGGCCCCTTCAAGCCTACCCTCGCGCCCTTCTGACACCCCCTCCTTTCTCCAGCACTTCTTGCACCTTGGACCAATTTGCTGGATCTTGAAGACGCAGGTCACTTTAGACAACAGGTAACCAGCAACTGAATACGCTGAATCATTGATACATGTCAAGTTCCCCTGAGTGAACAGTGACCGAATCCGTGAAGGGATAAGCACACATACCTCGTCCAGACCCAAGCCCAGTGATGTTAGCAGCTGAAAAATCTCATAGATGCAATGCCATCAACCAAACACAGACATTGATGCAAATGTGTGACTTACCCCGATCCTCCCAAACTCACTGCCATCAAGTCAATGCCAATCCATGGCAACACTATAGGGCAGGGTAGGGGTGCCCCTGTGAGTTTACAAGACTATAATTCTTTACAGGAATAGAAAGTCCCAATTTTCTCCTGAGGGGGCAGCTGGTAGTTTCAAACTGCTGACCTTGTATTGAGCAGCCTGACAGAGAACCACTATGCCACTAGGGCTCATTCCTGGACACAGAAAAGTAAAAACAGAAATTAATGACAAAACCCACACAAACCCATATGCCACACCTACCTAGGCGGGGTCTAGGTCTGCAGACCAATTCCAAGCCTCTGACCTCCAGGGCACAGTTGTCCTGCAGCAGGGAGCCCCAGGGGACGGACAGGGAGATGGACTGGATGAAGCCTTCGGTGACTTCCAGCGGGGCATCGGCTGACTCCAGGATGTCATTGAGGCACTAGGGGGAAGAACCAAGGCCACTGTGAGTCACATGGCAGCGTCAGGGCTTCATGCCCATCCCGGTGCCAGGCACCAGGGCTCGGGAACGCAGAAGCCAAGAGCAAGGTGATTGCTGGTCCTCATTCAGCTCACCAGCCACGAGCATGACCTGAAGTGAAGGTGAGCCAGGCAGGTACATGGAGCCTCCAGGCCCTCCTCCTGAGGAAGCCTCTAGACTGAGCCCAGAGGCTGAGCAGGGTTGAGGCGGTGTCTAGGTTGGGCAAGAAGACGTGGAAGGTCTTGCAGGCTGGGCAGGGCCAGCGGGGGTGTTGGTGTTGATACACCCACCACCCAGTCGATTCTGATTCACGCCGAGCCTACAGGGTAGAGAACTACCCCTTCAGGTTTCTGAGACCACAAGAGATGCAACTGCGGATGCCAGATGCACCAGAAAGATGTTTACTTGTGCCTAATTGACTATGCCAAGGCATCCGACTGCGTGGACTGTAACACACTATGGATGGCCTCGAGACACCAGAATTCCACACTACTTCATTGTGCTCCTGCAGAACTTGAATGTGGGTGAGAACAGAACAGAGTTAAATCTGGAAAGGTGTGCATCGGGGTTGTATCCTCTCTCCATACTTGTTCAATCTGTATACTGAGCACATCAGCAGAGAAACTGGATTATATATGAAAAACAGTCATTAGGATTGGAGGAAAACTTATTAATAACCTGCAATATGCAGATGACACAACATTGCTTGCTGTCAGTGAGGAAGACTTGAAGAAGCACATCCTGATGAAGATCAAGGATTGCAGCCTTCGGTGTGGGTGACACCTCAATGTGAGGAAGACCAACACCCTCACAAGTACACCAATTGGTAAAAACACCACAATAAATGGAGAAAAGAGTGACGTTGTCAAGGATTTCATCTTGCTTAGATCCACAATCAATGCTCATGGAAGCAGCAGTCAAGAGATCCAACTACACATTGCATTAGGTAAATCTGCTGCACAAGACCTCTTTAAAGTATTGAAAAGCAAGGATGTTACTTTGAAGGTGAAAGTATTCTTGGCTCAAGCCATGGTATTTTCAATCTCATATGCAGGTGAAAGTTGGACAATGAATAAGGAAGACTGAAGAACAAATGTGTTTGAATTAAGGTGCTAGTGAAGAACACTGAGCGTTCCGTGGACTGCCAAAAGGGCAAAAGCTCTTTGTGTGGAAGAAGTACAGCCAGAATGGTCCTTAGAGCGGTGGTTCTCAACCTTCCTAACCCCGCTTTGATACAGTTCCTATGTTGTGGTGACCCCCCCAACCATAAAATTATTTTTGTCGCAACTTCATAATGGTAATTTTGCTACTGTTATGAATCGGGTGACCCCTGTGAAATGGTCATTCGATCCCCAAAGGGGTTGAGACCCACAGGCTGAGAACCGCTGCCATAGCATCAAGTGTAGGTAGGGGCAGTGAATTATTTAATGTGGCTCTTAATAGCCAAATAACTATTTGGCTCTTAGTAGCCAAATGAATCACCAAATGACTTTTCCCTGAATATCTGGTAAGAAGGTTGGGGAAGATGCTGATAGGACTCTTGTGTGAGTAATTTCAACCTGGATTCCCTGAAGTGCCACCCTGTTGTGTATAAAATGAGTCCTCTGAGAAGCGAGCGGATGGGGGATCTCATTACCAGCAAGAACCCCGAGCCACCCCCTCCCCTGAGAAGAAGTTATTTCAAAGGATGTCACTGAATCCGCAGCTCCGGGAGAGGGACATATCTGATCAGAGCACACAGGAGCAGATGACGGGGGAGGAGGAGAGACTGGAGCACAT